CCAAACCACCTTCGAGTCGTGAAATTTGTTTGTAAGGGAGTGGTTTCAGTCTGTTGGGATGGATTGGGAAGGTGGGTGGTTATTCCAGGGGTTCTCTGAAAATACTACAAGCTTCGTAAATCAGCCCGTGCTTTCTGCGTTGGCCATGATCTGCCCTAATTGACGTAATACCATCTGTAAGGGAGCTGCTTCGTATGTGGTACGAGTAGAATTCATCCGATAATTTAAGGATATAGTCCTTCATTAGGGGCAGATCATAGCACTGTGCATGCATATCTGCCACTCGAGAGTACCTATCACCGTTTGTAATTATACGAAGTACCTTATTCTGTAGTATTTGTAACTTACCCATATGGGTAGGCGAAATACTACAGAACACCGGACAGGCGTATGTTAGAGTAGGACGTATGATCTGTTTGTATATCAGGAGCTTGTTGTCCATAGTCAGCGAGGAATTCCTCGCTAACAGCGGATACAAGCTCCTGATTGCAGCATTGGCCTTTGCCAATAAGTACTCTGTATTTGCGAAGAAGTTCATACGCCTGTCCCGAGCTACCCCCAGGTATTTCACAACAGCTTCGCCCTTCACCTCACTGTCTTTGACACGCAAAGGTCGGAATAGCGTATTGTTGGTATATTTCCTTGAAAAGTTGATTATCTCAGTTTCCGCATGATTTATCCGGATCTTTGCATTGTCAAAGTACGGTACGACCCTTCTGTCCAGGTGGTGCTGGATCTGTGCCCTGGCGACGTCCGAGAAGTACGAGTGTGCATAGATAGCAGTATCATCTGCGTACAATGCGGTACTCGTACTTTCGGACACAGGAAGGTCGTACGTATATAATGAGTACAGCAGAGGTGAAACGCACGACCCCTGTGGAACCCCTGCCTCGAGTGGGAATTCTCGCGATAATGAATTATTGAGTTCGACTCTTATTGTTCGACGTGATGAATACGAATCTATCAATTTAACAATGAACATGGGCATCCCTGCAGACGCCAGCTTGCATATCAGCCCCTCATGCCAAACGGTGTCAAATGCTTTTTCAATATCCATCAGGACCATAACTGTGTTCTCATCTCGGCTGGAGGCTTCTTTGATCCCGTGGACTATTCGGGCTACTTGAGACGTTGTGCTATGTCCCTTTCGGAACCCGAATTGTTCAGGAGGGATCACACTCAGGTCTTCTGCAAGAGTGTCAACCATACGAAGAATTGTCTTATCTATCACTCTGGCCACCATGCTGAGCAAAGAGATAGGGTGGTAACTACCTGGTTGCTTGGGATCTTTCCTTGATTTCAATATAGGTACAACAACTCCAGTCTTGAGAGACTCTGGGTAGTACTGGTGCCTAATAATAGAATTAATTATATAGTGCAATTGAACGACCGTCTTACGAGGCATGTTTTTCAGCAAAATCACATCGACACCGTCGAGTCCTGGTGCTTTGTTGATGTTCATCCGTTTGATATCTTGCATTACAATTCTGGGAGTAGTGAGGAATCTTCCCAGGACTCGACGGGACAAAGGAATACTAGGTATGATTCGATATCGTGCTGCCAACCTCAAAATCTCAGCCTGTTGGTCGTTTATAGGATTTTTATCAATTTGATTTATGCTTTGGAAATGCCTCCCAAGCATTTCTACTTTCTGCGGATCTGTCACCGCGTCTCCGGAACGATTCTCTAGGGTAGGGACGATTTGGGCTTTCTTGCGAAGTCCCTTCGTCATTTTCCACAGAGAATTGTCCCGAGGACTCAAGTTCTCCACCTTGGCCCTCCAGGCTGCATTCCTGACCTCACGGATCCTCACGTCTACAAGATTGCCGAGTCTCTTAAACTCATTTCGAGACTCGGCCGTCCTCAGGCGCTGCCAGGTTCGCCTGGCACGCTTCTTCAGTGCAATGAGGCCAAGAATATCTCCAGGAAGGTGATCCCTGGTGGAGCTGATAGTGACCTTACGAGTGGATACCGCTCTGGCCTCCTGGATGATCTTGATGAGGGTTTTTACTTCTTCATCAATCTCATCCAGAGGGATGTTTGCCCTAATTATTGTTTTCTCATTCAAATGAGCTCTAAACATCCTCCAGTCTGTGTTTCGGTAGTCAAAAATTGATTTTTTGATTTCGGGGGCTTTTACTCCCGATTCAAATAGCACTGGAAGATGATCAGAACTTATCTCATCCACTATTTTGATTCTGGCGACATCCACAACGTTTTTTGTCACTACCAGGTCAATGATCGTCCGTTGAAGGGAAGATGAGTGGGATAGCTAGGAGCCTCGATGTTGACATTGGCAGCCATGCCGAACCTCCTCAAGGTACGTCCATTTGTATTGTCGGCGTGATTTCCCCAATCTGCATGCCTCGCATTCAGGTCGCCTGCAATGATGACTTTATTCCCAGCACTACACAGAGCCTCGAGGTCGTGCTCAGTGAAGTTGTTCCTGGGGCTGTTGTATACCGAAAAAAGTACCTCCCCACTATGTAGTCTCACTCCGACGTGCTCTATAGAACAGAGTCTCGGCGGAACCACAGAGTGGGGGATGTTATTCCTGACCAGGATAGCCACCCCTCCATATCTGTCTGCGCCAGGCCGGTCAGCCCTAGTGATAGCAAAACCCTTCACACGAAAATTATGCTCCTGTCGGAGTTTGGTTTCCGATAAGAAGATGATATCAAGATGGTATCTCTGTAGAAAATCAACAAAAGATGACATCTTGTTACTGATGCCATTTGCGTTAAAATTGCACATCTTGAGAGCCACGCTAATTGTCAATTCGGTAACTCGCTATATTTTCAGCGAACTCCTGGAATATCATCGAGATGTCCAAATTGACTTGTTGACTAAGAGTCTGCAGCTCAGCCATCACCCCCATCATCTCGGTGTTAGTCCCAGTCCCCTGCGCACTCGTTGCCGGCCTCTGGGAGCTGGTTTGAGAAGGTGGGTCACTTCTATCCATCTCTGCTGCTACGGTGGGCTGCCGGGCCTCTCTACGTTGTTCCCACGCATTCCTGGTGGGGGGAGGGGCGGGGGTGTAACCACCTCTACCAGGCCTATTGACCCGACTTTTTTCTTTTTATAGATCTCACAATCAGTGCTGTTCGCAGGGTGATCGTTCCCGCAGTTCGCACATCTCGCAGGCTGCGAGTTGTGCAAACTGCAGGCCGACGTGAGGTGGCCATCAGCGCATTTCAGGCACCTAGGTGGTCTGAAACAGTTGCTGGTGGCATGTCCCCACACCTGGCACCGCTTGCACTGTGAGATCTCGCGATTATTGCGTCGCATCTCCCACGAAATTTTTGTTGATAGTATGTATTTAGCTTTATTGTTGAGAAGTGTAGAGTGTATTTCGGGTCAACAACGACAAGGTAAAGGGGCCTAAACCTTTTCCGAAGCCTGGAGACTTCCTTGGCCACTATTTGATGTTGTTCCAGTAAGTCTCTTGTGACTTCAGAGGCCTCAGGCTCGAAGTCCAGTCCTCGCACCACGAATGCGTGAGACTTATCTTTTCTTTGCGTATAGGTGTGAAAAGGGACACTTTCAGTCTTGAACTTATCCCGCAGCTTTACATAGTCCTCTTCATTTTCCGCATAGAGCAAAGTGGAATTGTGTCCGTATTTGAAGAAAACTGTTTTTTCTGCTATGGATCTGATTTCTTCTAGAAACCTCCTCCTGTCTGTGATTATCTCTTGTATGACAATGGGAGGAGGCTTCTGGTTCTTCTTAGGTTGATTAGTATTATTTTGTTTGGTTTTTGGGTTATTTTTATTTAGTTTTTGTGTTTTGTTATTTTTGTTTGCCTTATTTTTCTTGGGGTTGCTCTTTGTAATTAGTACCTGCTCCTCTTCATCCTCGGAGGAGGAACAGCTACTGCTAATAGGGGGAGTGGGGCGGGTCTCTTTGATTCCACTAGTCCCAGAAGACAAAATTTCATCAAAATTCGTGACATTGGATTGAAGTTGCTGTTCCCGTAGCCAGTCATCACGTATGCCTCTGATGAATAATTGTGCTTTGAGAAAAACATCAGCTATTGAAACTGCTGCGTCACATTCGCACTTCTCGGAAAACTCGCATTCGACTATGTCTCGTCGAAAAGCAGCAACAAATTCGGCAATGGACTGGCGGTCCTTTTGATAAATGTTGAAAAAATAGTGCTGGGATACGATGACGTTACGTTTAGGAATGAGCATTTGTTTGAATGATTGAACGAGATCATCGTGAGATAGATTTTTCAATGGCTTTTTGGGTCCTAGGAAAGCTGCTAAGCTATTGAAGTGAGTTGACCCAATCGACACACATAGAAGTTGGGCAATTTTGAAATTATCCGTGATACCTTTCATGGTGTAATAATTTTCGAAACGTTCCAGATAACATAGGAATTTCTTACGTCTTGGATCGAAATTTTCAAAAGGCACTACATTCGAAAAGATCATTGGGACTTTGAAACGTTGTTCCGATCGAAATTGATTGTCAAGTTGAGTCAGAAATACTTGCTGTTGGTCCTGTAGCTCTAACATCAGCTCCTTGAATTCATTTGCGTCCATTTCAATATTGAATATTATTTTTCACTATCGTCGCCAATTATTGTATAGAACTGGGATATATTAGAGGGGCTTGTAATGTCACTTGACACATTTATTGAAAACTAATTATCGTATGTCATGAACTATTGACATATATCGAATAGTCTAGGATACTGGGTGATTCTAATATCTGAGAATACGACACATACGGAGTTCGAAGGAATATCGAGGGAATCTTTGAACACTCCCTGAATTTGAAGGACTTTGAATTCAAGAAGTTTTCATGAAAATATCTACAATTGTCAAATACTATCTGTAGGTTGATCAAGGAGATACATCCAATCAAACAGAATGAATCTACAATTGTGTTCTCAATACACTTTCGGAATTTGGCATCAAAAAATTAAACAACCATATTATTTACCGATGAACGATCCGAAGATATCAAAGTAAGTCGTACCATTTATGTTCCAGGTGCTTCGTTATGGGCAGTGGGACTGACAGGCCTATTTTCCTGTGATACTCCTCTTCTAGACATGTTCCTGTTTGGTTCGTTGATCTCAGCAGTGGATCCAGTGGCTGTGCTAGCTGTTTTTGAAGAAATCCATGTTAATGAAATATTGTACATAGTGGTGTTTGGTGAATCGCTGCTCAATGATGCGGTCACAGTTGTTTTGTATCATCTATTTGAGTCCTATACAGAGATGGGTCTCACGAACATAGTGTACGTCGATATAATATCGGGATTCTTAAATTTTTTTGTAGTCGCTATTGGCGGAACTGTGATTGGCGTGATATGGGGCATTGCCACTGCCCTGGTGACCAAGTATACAAACGAAGTGCGCGTTATTGAACCTATCTTTATATTTGTTATGGCCTATTTGGCATATTTGAATGCAGAAATATTCCACATGTCAGGAATTTTGGCGTAAGTACAATTATTTCACTTATGATTTCATTAGTTTTCGCAATAGGAGCATAATTTTTGATGAATAAAACTTCAGGAACGTTCTATGTCATCACAGTAATTCTAATTCTGCCACGAGAAACAAGAGACTTGAGACGTTGACAAGTCAGCGCCGCTGAAGGAGATCTTGCAAATATATCACTAAAATACAACGGTGTATTTTTTCGAGAAAGCAAAACTCAGCATGACTGGTATGAAAATGTCTGATTCAATCACTCATGATAGCTACACATGATATCACCATTAGGAATAATCTTTCATGAGAAGTTATGTTGTATAGAATCATTACGGAAGTTGCTTCACAAATATCTAGAATTCTCATTCCGCGAAGAAAGCTACTATATAATATGTATACTTCAAAATGATCTACAAATCAATGATCCAGATTGTCCTGATATAATATGACGTTTAGATCTCCCATGTTGGCTGATATAACGGATATCACTTGTTCCGAATATTCAAGATGATTTTGTCGCTTCCTTGTTAACGAAGATGTGTCTGGACGAGTGGTATCGCTGTACGGAAACACAATTGAGATCACAATGACAGACAAAATCATTAGGATATATTCAGAATATTCCGCTTGATCATCTAACGGTCCCAAAGCATGAAGAGCGTTTATAATGAATGAGCGATTCATCCTGACAACTTCAGCTATAAATCATGTGATGAGATCATGTGATGAGTGGAAAGTCAGTGGTGATACCACGAGGGCTCGCATTACTAACGATAGTATTCCTGTCATAAATCAACAATATTCGATTGCTTGGTTACAGCAAGAAGTATTGTGAGCACGATTCGTATCTATCGAGATTATTCCACGACCTCATGAGAAAATATCTTCAGGTCATATCAGCTGAGAAGATATCGTGGTTCTGTGACGACGATGTCCCAATGAAACTATTCCAACTGGTTCTTATATCGCAGGAGACGACAGTTTCGTCATAAAATGGTCAGGAAGATTCAATTCAGAGAAAAATAATCTGCCTGGTTCTTCCATAGGCCCATCAGGCAATACCAGAGATGAGAGGAAGACAACAAACTCGTGTCACGGATACTTCGTGTCATTAGACTTACATATTCATTAGGATATACCATAGGAGTAATCTCTTCCAACTTGTGATCATACGCACAGACGTTTTTGTTTTTTTTTTCACGATACTTCCTGGTGTATGTAGGTGTGTATATGTACTCCGTAGGTATTTATGTATGAAGATTTAATCCTATTGTTTTCACTGCAGCTGGCAGATGTCCTTCGCATAGGGGGGTGGATAGTTGAATTCGATACTAACCAGAAAATGTTTGAGAAGGATTGATATTTTTATAATGTAATTTCTCTCAAATTTGAATAAAATCATCGGCACCATTTATTTTGATGTGATGTTCCTCTAGGAAGAACAGAAAACCTGTTAAGTATTCAACATCCGAGAGATGTCAGCGAAGTTCAGAAAAATTCCCTGAAGTAGGAGATATGTACTGGTAAATGAAAAATATGTTTTCTAGGGCTCAATGTACAGTCATTTCACTCTAAAAATATCCTTCTGATGTTGATCACACACTATTTCCTCATATAGCAACATTTTGAGTAGTCTTTTATTTTGAGAATTCATAATGAGTTGTATATTTTATTCATATCCCTTCAAAAACATTCCGAATTTCATGAGTAAAACATAATATTATGTTATGAGTTGTTGGAGCAAGGTATATGGATGACTAAGGATTCATTAATTTTCTTGATGGCTTCATGAAAAAAGGTGGTTTTTTTGTTGATCAAGGTGTCTGATTTCGAATAGCTCTTGAACAGAAGACACCATATTGCGGATAGAAATCCTTCACATGAGAAAACTTGTGAAGATTCACATCCAAACGAAGAGATGATATGAGATTCATGGTACTTGCAGGAAATATTAACCAACTCAAAACCTGGTATGGTGACAATCTTGGTGAATAAAGTGTCCTTCATTTTGTAAGAGTGAGAGTCTCAGGAATGATTTCACTCCCTTGTAACAGCTGACACTATAGTTGCTGTTGGAACTGTCAGAAAAAGCTGGTTCTTGCTCCCTGGACGACTTCTCTATTCGAAGAACTTTGATTCAATTATTGATACTCTGTATCCTTGAATCATATAGCCGGACCGTGAAACCTATGGATAAGGAAATCGGATTTGGGTACATTCACTCGGAAAGATCAGTCTAGTCCCGGAAGGATTATTCAGAACAACTCACCTATACTTCGATGAGGATCGGGCCTCGAAGAATTTGCCAATGTCATTTTACAAGAAAACCTCAGAAGCATGTGGAAACGTGAATCACTCAGACGGCTATCTTAGAACCCTATACCTTCTGAATATGTAGGCCAAATCGATAGTGGAAATCAGGCGGCTAGTTGAACCTTCGACAACATGCTGATGATATTTAATGATGGAATATGAAAACACGTTCAACTAGCGCTCGGAAATGGCGAACAAAATGGCACCTGATGAAATCGTGGTTGAGGTACGATGGTCAATGTTTTTCACAAGAAACACGAAGAATTTAATGATGAATTGGATTTCTATGTACTCACGTGTGACACTCGATCAAAATTATTGAAAAAATTAAAGAAATTGGTTTCTATTAATTATACTGAGAATTTTATTGCGGGTGGACTTTTTCACCATGCCCATGATGGGATTCAAATTAAACCCACAATCTATCCCGAGGTGAGATATATCATTTAGGGAAGGTGAAGTTCCTAACTCAATCAGAAAATATACGATGAATTGTATCGAAATGATTTTACTCAAATCAGTCCGAAAAAACTGTTAAACTCAATATTTCAGAATGACATAATGAATCAATTATAGATCACATAGAACAGTCTGATAAGGCTTCCTCATCAGAATCATCAGGTGGGTTGGAATCGCAATAGGCCTTCAAATCTCTCATGTGCTACTTTTTGACATTGACGCCTGAATCAAGATCATCCAAATCGTGAACCAACCTTGGACATTATTTCCTAACCACTTGAGATATTCATCTATGAGTTAGTTTGGCTGCGAGAAAATCTACTCCATTGGACTCTGCCCTAATACGTTGCCCAATTTATGAGGAATGTTGGATTATCATCATTATAGCATGTGTAACGAATCATGACGTGTCGTTCAAAACCAAGGAATGCAGGTGAAGGACCTGAAATTCCATGTTTTGCGTAATTCATATTCTCAATTCCCAATCACGGTGTTCGTTAATGAAGCTACATAAAGCTGTCTCAATTATGCGATAATTTCTCTCAAAGAAATATCATTGTGATGGAAACACTGCATTGTACCAAATTTCTGAACTTCATGATCTTCGGAAAGTTCCTTCAATTTCTACCCGTTAAATATACTGAAATTAGGTGTTCTTGAACCAGAGCCATCACCAGACTGGTTTCGAATGATATCTAAGTGTCCGAGACTGATTCTAGTTGAAGTCAACATGTTCGAAAGCTCTAAACCCAAAAACCTGGGAGTGCTGAGTAATCCATAGATTCCTGACTTTCTGAAGCTATTCTTGATAGTAAACTTTGACAAACATCATAACATCCCTAGAGACCCCAATATTGTTCAACCCTTTGCTAATGATATGAAATTTGGATGCATTATTCATTTGTCAAAATGATGGGTGTTCACCTGGTCATAACTTTTTCGTCATTAGATATTTCTGAATCAAATGTATTCACTAGCATCAGCATAGGCAGTGAATTTTGTTAAGTTGCTCCTTTGGAGTTGAGAATCATTCTTTTCGCATTCTTGTGAGATTGACAACTTGTGCTGTTGGATGCTAGTTCCTGCAGGCATAGTTGAGGATTCCAACCAATCAGAATCTTGTATTGTGCTGTTCTTTTACCATTGTTGATGGAAAGTATAATTACGGAAGACAGCTGAGGGATCCCTCTCTACGCTCTACACACTCTACTCTTCACGCTCTTGGCTCCTTCTACTCGTTCCTCTCCTGGTTCTCTTGCTGATCTCTTAGTGGTCTCATATTTTATTCGAAGCCAGTGTGAAATATCAATATAATGTGATTTCGTGTTGCACGTGTAAGTTTGTTTGATATTTTTCAACATTATTATTCATCCTGTTCATGGACTCATTTCATTCCTGTTGTTTTTCATACCGATACTCACCCGACCTGTGTAACGAATTCAGAAATTCATATTCGCGAATGAACGTTATTTTTGTGATTGTATATTTCATATTTCTTCCTCTGGTATCATTGTATTCAAATCCGAATATTTTTAATGATTCATTCAATGATTCTCAATATTTCAATTTGTCAAATTGCTCATTTTCATTAGCTGAGACACTGACATAGCCAGTTGGCAAATCTTCTTCTTCTCCTCGGGCATTCCTGTCCTGTGCACCGGTGTTCCATTGCTTGGTATCCTGTCAGGCTTTGGCCTGTGGTTCATGAAATTTTGACACGGATGGAAAAACATGATATGCCTCACTGAAATTCAGATATTAAAAAAATTTGAAAGAGGAAAAAGGAAGATGAATCTGTTCAATTCGTGTGGGACTGTGTTTTCAATTGTTGTTGTAATCAACCAGCATGGAGATAGCAACCAGTATTCCAGGCTGAGCCCAGGGTTTGTGCTTGAAGCCTTCATTCCTGTGGCTTCTTGATTCCAGGTCAATACTTGTTTTCACTTCTGATGAACTGACTTCATGGAAGCAGGTGGAGTAAACCACCTCATAAACAATCTGGAGCCCGAGATGTCCCCGACAAGTTCCAAAGTAGTCTCTATCCGAACGAGCGCCAAAGTGAGGGCCGCAGAAATGAAGGCCGTCAAAATACCTTGTTGTCGCATATGACATACTAGGGCACTATAAAAGTTAGGAATATTGCATCTCCCATCATTGTCCCAACATGTTGTGCTCTGGCACTTTTTGGAGCATAAATCAAATCATACTAAGAGAATCATTCCTGAACGACTCG